GGGAGAAGGCAGGCGGGGTCCCCAGTAGCAAGTTGGGCCTGAGTAAAGCTGGGTCTGGAAAATGCCCTTTTCCACTGTGCACATGATACGGTTCCTCCAAAGTGACTGACGGATGGTGAGGTTGGCTTTGGGAGCAAACCTGGGGCAAACAGAAGGCCGCAGCCCTGCCCGGCATTTGCTTGGCAGTGGCTGGGGGGGCGCCGGTCCTGCTCCACACGGCAGGGCAGGGGGTCACAGCTGGCTTTGGAGGGCGAGAGCCATCCCAAGCAATTGTAAACTTGGAAAGGGTGCGGTTGGACGTAGTGGCGGTCTCCTGTCACCAGGAAAAGCTGTTTGGGGATGTCTGTGGAGGTGATGGAGCCTTTGGGTTATTATATAGTTAAGTTCCAGTATTATATTTATGGTTTAGCAGGGGGGTTGGACTAGATGATCTCCTGAGGTCCCTTCCAACCCTTACGATTCTGTGATTCTGTGATTCTGTTTTGGCTCTTTAAGGCATCTGAGAAAGTAGATACTGAGACAGAGCCCCAAAAACCTCTGCGGGTAGCGTGCCTGGCAGGGGGATTTGCAGAGCCTGGTCTCTTAGCAGTGCCCACATATGAATAAAACCTAATTGGAGCCAGCCAGTTTGTGCGCCCAGATACTGGGTTTGGAGGTCTTGGTGAGATTCCTGGTGGAGCAAGCTGGCCTGCCGAATCCAAAGCTGCCCAGAAAGCCTTGGCCCACAGAAAATAAAAAAGAAGCTCAGATGCATGATGAAGCCAGAGCATCTGGGGTGCCAGTGCTGCTTAGGTGAAGGTGTTGTCGCAGGAACCGTCGGTGTTTTAATTGCCGATCGTGCATGTGTAGGATGCGCCCAGGCAGCAGGTTTGCACTGTGGCACGGAGGGAGCCCCGCGGGCGCCTGTTCCTTGCACTGGGCTCTGTGATCCTCCTTTGGGGGAAGAGCCCCGAAGGCTGACCCGCTGGCTGCCTCCGTGCTGCACCCTGCGCAGTGCCAGT